ATTAATTATATATATATATATATATATATATATAAAGATTTTAATTTGTAAAAAATATTTAAAAGTTTAAATATATTTGTAATATATTTGTAACTTTTGAGGAATTGATTGTAAAAGCTAAAACAAATATAAAAATTGATAAATAAAAATGTTGATTAAAATGTTTACTTATTAAGTTATAAACAATTGAAGTTTGCTTCATAGGAAATGAAATGATAACGGAAGAATTTGTTCCCAATATGGAATATGTTTCATTCATATTATTTTTACCGCATTGTTCCCGTCACATTTCATCTAACAATGAACTTAAATTGTTTATAAATTAAATAAGTCTTAACTGATATTTTTATAAATTAATTTTTGTGTTTTTGATTTTTTATTTTTAGAATCTTCAAAAATGTTTCATGAATATATTAACATTCTATATAAATAATATCTTTATATTAAAAATAAATAGCTATCTGTTATATAATTACGTGTAATTAAAAATTACATAGATTGAAATTCTGCTTCATTTATTATATGTATAATAATGATATGTTAATTTTTTCAAAGGAACTTATTTAAAATAACAATTACACTTATGAAAACTTTAATATTTATTGGCACCTTTTATTAAGTTATTATTATCAAAAATAATATTTTACTGTAACGTAACATCAAGTTACAATATTGAATTTTAATATAACAAAACGAAATATTTCTCATAAAAAGCAGTAAAATTTGAAAAATATATATTATACTTTAATAAAATATTATATATATGTCTAATCTAATACTGAAATAAGGAAAATACCTATAATATAAACTAAAAATGTTTTTTTTGTGTTAATCAAAAACAATTGAAACATATATAATAACATATTAATATATAATAATCTTAAATTATTTTAACAGCTTAAATTAGATATAACAATATTGACAATACGTTATAGTACGAAAAAAAGGATCATATAAAACAATGAATATGTTTATCACATACAGAACACAAAAAATAACTTGTAATCACTCAAAGATATTTGTTACCATTTAATATTCTCATAAAATTATAAATAAGAAAAAATTAATGAAAAAAAGCGCATACCAATGTATTAGAAGAAATGGAATGCTATCTATTTTCGCCAAAATATTTTTGTCTTTTATATGCCACAGCCAATTTATTTAATTATGTAATTATATTGCATGTTAACAAGAACTAAACAAGAAAAAATATTAAAAAATCAAATATCTTAAAAAAATAGAATATACCAACAAAAATATATGAAAAAATATATGAATATATGAAAAAGTGTGTGTTCAGTTACTCTCTGCAACATAAAGAAATTATTCAAAAATTAAATATATAGTCTTAGTCACAAATCTAAGAATACATATGTATCATTTTTAAAAATTAGATTAATAAATTATTATTTTTGAAAAAATAAAAAACTGAATTTTTAAAGGATATTATAGATATAGATATAGATAATATGTACATACATACACATTTGTTAGTGCATGTTTATACATTCATATTACTATTATTTTTATTGTTTTTTTTTATGAATTATAAATGTCTAAGTATTTTGCAAATACTATTAAATAAAAATATTACTTTTATATACAAACAACTATGTTCTCAAACGTAAAACTGTACAAAATTTGTTTAGCATAAATATAGGAAACAATTATTAATCTGTAGGTACATATATTGCATAC